GATACAGGGTATGTACATTCGACTCTTCATAGAATTAGCAGCTTTCGCGATGGATATTATTAACGAAAATCGAGTACAATCGAAATAAATAATTCAACAAAGTACAGCCGACACGCGTACGAGTAGGAGAATTCGATGGGTCGATAGAATGTTGAACGAAACGAGAACGAGTACGATTAAAAGGTCTCTAGTAAGATTCTCGTGCGATCGACCCAAGACACTAGCAATTGCTGCGAATTGTAACAACGATCACGGGAAGCGAATCAATTGATATTTCCTTCTTTTTCCTTTGGAGGAAGCGGTAGGTATTCAGCGACGCCCAACGCGATACATTGATTCATTTCTACCTGCGACAAAGTTTATTCGTTTAATCGTTGACGCGATTTCTTTAAAATAGAACGCGGTCAGAAATATTCGAATCAACTTGAATCTGACAATGAGAAACTTACTCGACAGTGGAACAGAGTACGAATTGTTCTCTCGCTGAATCTTGGAGTCAATTCCAGAGAGGAAATACTTGTTCCGTCGACATCGAATTATATCGTTACCTTTTTCTGCTCGTTCCCTTCATTCTTGTCAATGTAAACAGCGAACGAGACGCGAATGAATCTGAATCTCTACCGCGAAACGAGATGCGGCCTACGTTTCGTTCTACTCGCGAACGAATCGGCACATGACAGGACGCACGACACGACAGAGAGCGGTGCTGTTCGGAACCAACGTGAGAATTACTGTTGCGTAGAGCCACGAGAATCTGAAAATCAGCAACGAGTAGAGTTTCGAGTGGACCAAGCAAACGTAACGCTCTTCTACCAAAGACTTTCCCGCTCCGTTGAATTCGGTATCCCCGCGCAGCATTCTCTAGTCACGCATGCGACACGCGACACGCGACACTCGACCCTCGAGCGCACGACACTCGACACTCGACACACTCGACACTCGACACTGAACACCGAGGACGAGCTCGGACCTCAAAGGCAACGATGGTCAGCGATGACGGTCGATGACGGTGGTCGACGAGAAATCTATGCTGAAGAATCTTTTCGAGAACGAAACGAGTGTAAGAGCAGCGCGGAATCGGCGAGTCGGAAGCACCGAGAGCACGGGAAATGTTCTAATTGATACCTCGAAAGGCGTACCTTGATATATTCTCTCCCTCGAATAGCAGCAACGGTACCACGAACAGAATCCTTCTGATCCGGGCGTCGCGGCGTTCCGCGTCTAATATACACCTCTCGGCGGGTGTTCCGTGCGCGCGTCCTTCTCTTTCAGGGAGAACCCCTTTCTGCGCTACCCCTTCGGGCTGCCCAGAGAATCGCCGTGTTATCGCTGCCCCCCGGTTTCTCTGCTTCGAGTCGCCTCCGCCTTCCTCGCGCGGTGCCATCAGCTTCCCACCTAATTGCGAACACACAGAAATAGAGCCTGCAATCTTCTTCTTTGCGGATAACGACTGGCTGACGTACTATTCCTCGTCGATTCCTTTTCTCCTCTATCTTTTATCCCTTGTCCCTCGCTCCTTGCCCTTGCCCTTGCCCTTGCCCTTTTTCTCTTTTTCTCCTTCTCTATTCTTCTCCTGTCTTTCTTTATTCGTTGCTTTTCATTTTCATTGGTTATTTTCTTTCATCTGTCCTTTCTCTTGAATTTTCTTCTCCAATATGTATGGGTGAACGTGCACCGTACGCGGACACCGTCCAACGCACTCGAAGAGCCTCGAAAGGAGAGCAATGAAACTGTGGGCGTTACACGGAAAAGAAAAGACGGTTGATCAACGACAATTTTAAGGTACACGTGGAACACAATCACAGAAAAATTGTCTCGAGCACACGTGTTTTGTATCGCTGAAATTAGGGGAAGTCGAGAGTGCAAACATCGCTCGAGACGCTACTAATTCGAATTCGCAACAAGGACAACATTTGTATTTATTATACAACAGACGATACCTTTATATCCTATTGGTATATCCCACTGCATGCGATCGTAAACGTTCCACGTAAACTTCCGAAATACATAATAGTAGAAAACACTCCGATAGTCCGGACACCCGACGAGATTCATTTTCTAGTTACTCGAGTTACTCAATCTTTGTATAATGCTAACCGCTTCACCTGAAATTACCGTCATGCTGGTTGAACAACGAAACGCTTATCGCTCGCACACACCTTGCCGAACTGCTCCTGCTAGCAGCCACGCAATGCAAACCGTTATGGATGATTAGACACGCCTCTGAGCATCTTCTTTCCGAATAACAAACACGTATCGTTTACAGATTCTCAATCTTAGAAGCAACAACGATCGGTTCTTTCATTCTGTTCGTTTTCTCGTACGAACGAAATAACGGATCAGCATTTTTACTCGCGATGGATGCGCCAACCAGTGTCTTCGTATCGTATTCGCCTTCCATGAACATTTCGACGAGCCTCTCGCACGGCTACACCGGAATTTCCATCGCAAACGGTTCGATACTTGCTCACGGTTCTATATTGGCAGCCGTTGCGCAACGATCTCGTCAATTTTTCGAATTTCTCGACGCACTGACCCCTGGAGAGATAACGTTGCTCGAAAGCCACGAGAGACTTCTCGACGATCCAACGTTTCTGATACATCGTAACTGCGACTCGCCGATAGATTTCGGAAAACCTTTAGCTATTTGGAAATGTTCACTGCTGAACGATACTATGGAGAATTTCTTAAAAAATTGGACTTTTCATAACGACGAAAGGTATGGTCGTCTCCTATTCCCCGTATTCCTGCTAATCGCATGCAAATCCTCCGAGCCGACTGAAACGGCAGCCGACGATGATCAGAGAGAATTGAAATCAAAGGTAACCATAGATATCAAAGTCGGGAAGAAAGTGAACGATATTTTACTGGAACTAGCAAAGCAGTCTATAAACGATCGACCTGCCAAAGGATCCGCGATCGAAATGTTCTCGACGCCCTTCGGCAATCCTTTCTTCGCCGACACAATCACTCGTGGAATAATCGGTAATTTGTTGGGAACGAACAACTGCTTGATGCTGATAGACGCCACTGTTTTGCCTGGATGCGAGGGTGGACCTGTATACTTGATCGGTGAACGGTGAGTTCTTCCGATTCCTCCATTGTGCCATTTCTCCCGGCACGCGTGCACATCTATTCCACCGTTGCATTAATCGTTGCTTTTCTCTTTCTCTCTTTCCTGTCCCATCGGCATTTCCCCATACGCGACAAGAGCTCGTAAAACTCTGTGTGGCATGGCAATCGCATCTTTCTGTCGGTGCCGCGGAGAACGGGTAGACTACACGCTCGCGGTGAATTTGCTACCGTCGCTGAACGAGATCCTTCAAACTCGGGTCACGCGAAACAAATCTTTCTGCTTGACCCCTATCGTTCTCCCTTTCACTCGGCCAACTGCTAATCGCAACGAAACAATTGGTATGTAAACGCTTTCTCCTCTTTACCATGTTTACCATCCTATCCTCTATTTCAGTGAATGAATCGTCCTCTCCTTTTCACCGGTTAGGCACACTAGAGCAAAGCGTCGCGATTGTAAGCTGCGGACTGAATTGGGGTACTGGCATCTTACTGGACCAAGAAACAGGAACTTTTATCACCTGCGCTCACGTTGTCGCGAGGGTATGCGTTTCAGTTTCTTTCAGTTTCTTTCAGTTTCTTTCAGTTTCCCTATGGAATATTCGTCGATGTTCATTGTTACGTCTAGCATGCTGTATCCTCGCCGGAGGATCAAAACTGGCGGTAGATATTCTTTTCTGCGTTCATCTTCGTTTCAGGCACCGGAATGCAAGATCGAGCTCGCGTCGTACGTTGCGTCGCGAAATGCTAGACCCGCATGGACAGCTCCAGCGAAACTAATCTACAAAACTCCGGATAATAGACCTTACGATGTTGCTGTACTGAGGGCAGATTTCAACTGTAAACAGACCTCGATGAAACCGATCAAACTAGCGGATAGCCCTGCCGTAAACGGTACGACGAATTTTTCGGTAGACAATGCACCCGACACATTCCACAGCGCTAACGACAAGATGAAATATTTCTTTCTCGACGGAAAAAAACTAATTGCTTCAGCCCATCGTCGGAATCGTTCGAATTAACGATTATCCATTCAGTTCTATAGAAAGCTTTTCATCTTTTTTTATAACGCACCTACACCGCTGGAGGTTATTCCAGTTGGTTAACGGTAACGACAATAAGAATTAAGAGTATAGGGAGATCGACGCTCGTCAGGCGACTCCGAGGCGACTCCGAGGCGCCCAGCGTTGCAAGGGACAGCACTGACCTTCTTTCGTCGACAGAAAAATAACTAGGTCTAAATTGGGCCAATTGATCGACGAGGGTAGAATCGACGTTTCGTCAGCGTTGAATGTCGAACGAATGACGCTACTCGACCGCTCCATCATCCCCCTCGCCGCTCGTTGCCACCCATTCTCCTCGCTCTACTCCCTTTGCTACTCGCGTTTCTTCGCTAGTCTTTCGGACTCCTTTCAATCGAGCCCCTAATGAGCCCCTATTGTCGACAACTATAAATTAGGAAGGAGAATACTAGCCGAATCAACGAGATTCTACTCCATCACTGATGCAATGACGCGATGACTCGATGACTCGATGACTCGATGACTCGATGACGCAATCACGCAATCACGCAATCACGCAAAAAGATAGATACCTATCGTGAATCGAACATTGTAAACCACAGAGGCCATCTTCAATCGCGTAAGATACATCACCGGCTTATAATTTACGTTTTTTCACGACTCTTCTCTTTATTAGTATTCTATAGACCTATACACCTATACACCTATACACCTATACACGTAAATGAAAATTATTTTTCACAGGGGAACCGGTACTTTCGATAGGATTTCCATTTTGTTCGACCGGCAGGGCCACCATCAGCAACGGAATAATATCGAAAACTTCCAAGTACATGCTTCAAACGAATTGTTGCGCCCAAAGCGGAGTCAGCGGAGGGCCTATCGTTCGACCATTCAGCCTCGAAATGTTGGGAATGATCGTTTGTAATACCGTCTCCACGAACGATTCGACATTGTATACTCGATTGTGCATGGCCATACCCAGCAGTACTCTGAAGGGGCCGTTGAACGATTATTTACGAACCGCTGGTACAAATTTAATTTCTCTGTCCACCTGTCCACCTATCCACCTCTATCAAACTGTTTCAATATGCTCATTTATATCGTACAAATTCAATTTACCAATTTCTTTTTAGCAACATCTCCTTTTCAGATCCTAACACGCTGAAAAATCTAACGCGATACGACCACGATATCGAAGCCAACTGGAATCTCCGCCGTCCGTTCATTCGATCGAATATATGATTATCGCATCACTGTACAACTACACTTCCATTATATACTAGAAATCAGGTGTAGATACATAAATAGCTATTTTTTACAAACACAATATCTTTTATTTTATACGTTAAAATTTGAAAATAAAAGATAAACTAAAAAGTTACGGTGGTTAGCCGCTCATCGATAATTATCCAAACAATGATTTCAAAAAACCTGTTCTGTCCGTAGCAGTTTCATCTTCTTTTCTACTTCTAATTTCAGCATCTGTGTCTCTTTGTTTTATCATGGGTGGTACAAACACGTTATTTCCATCTCGTTCTTGTTTGCGACGTAACTTCCTACTTCTGTCAACATTTTGGGAGAAGAAATTCGCTTCTCTCTTGGCCTGAGCAATCTCTGTTCGTAGTCTTTGTTTTCGTACAGCTCGCTCGTAAGCCAAACGTTCGCTTAAATGAATCCATTTGAACCTAACGAAGAAAGCATACTTAAATTTCTAACCACACCTAAATATATCCAATATTTACGACTCAATTTCAATTTGTTACCTTGGCAAGTATTTAATATTCCAAATAACATCGTAAAATTTACTCTTTTTCCTAGTTGAAATTTGTTTATTGTTCAATATCGATGCCACATATTTAGCTACTTTTTTACTTTCAAATTCAACCCAGCCTTCGGTGAAAAACTTTGTGCAAACTTTCTTACGTTTTCTCAGCTTAGAGTCTCGTTCTAATTCTATAACAACCATTCGTTCGTACGTACATATGCAGATAAACAACTGTAACTGTCATAATAATTAGTAGAAAAGCATGCATCAGCTTGTATCTTATCGGTTGGATTTCACATATACGATCTGTACTATATCCAAACACCAAGTGAAGGTTAGATTTTGTACAGGGTCCAAATATCTTGTAAAGTAATTCGTATGTCGAGTTGATATAAAATACTAACCATTCTCTGCTAATTGTAGATATACTCTGCCTATCTGACCGTACACGGAAAACAATTCTCGAATTTTTGTGATATTCATGTACCTTGGTATATTAGATAAGTATATAATTCCTTTTTTCCGGACGTTTTTCTTTGTTGCATTTTTAGCCTCCGTAACACTTACGTTCTCTACAGTTCCGTTCTTTTCCATTTCTGCGAAACTTTTATGAACCACTCTTTTTTTACTTTTCAAAGCATTCCTATTTCTTTCACTTTTCAAATAGTATGCACATGCTCTCACTCTTTTGCGAACAATTCGTGTAGTAATATCATACACGTGGTAATTATTGCGCTCCTGTATACATTTCACACTGTTCTTTGCGCATTTTATTTGTAATAGTGAGTGACCATGATTATTATAAATATTATATGATCAAGGAGTAATCTTGTAAATATACACTTACCGCGCGCGCTCGCGCCCGCGCCCGCGCCATGATAAAAGTCATGTGAGCATTGCGTATGTGTGTGTGTGTGTGTGCGTGTTTTTGTATAAACAATTTTGTTAACGATACTACGATCGCTACGTCATTCCGTTTAAAAATGATTAACGTTCAATCGTATAAAACTAATTCAGTGGTCACACTTTTTGTAATTGGGAAGAAATATCTGATATACAAGGAAAACTACACAGGAGAAACTATTGAAATGGAAGTAGAAAATATGTAAGGTATCGGGTATGTTTAATCGACTATGTATAGCAAATATTAATGCGAATATTCTTTAGAATAGAACACTGTCATAATGGAATGTCGCTGTGATAAAAAATTGTAAAGGGTTCATTATCATTTTGAACGATGCTTGTCGTTAATAACCAGGATCCGGCCACGATCGGCTCACAATTACTATGTAGTATTTATCGTTAATATTTAGCGCGTTGCAACGCTATCGCCTTGCTTACTCTTCTTGTTGTTGCGCAACGAGAACCGCGCAGCGTCTCAGTGTGTGCATAAAGGAGCAAGTGCATTTGTTACATGATGCATCCTTAAAGAAATTTTATCTTTTCCGCGATATACGTTGTTTTCATGAAGATTCCGCGGAACAAGTTTTATAAGAATACAGTTCCGTACGAGTAGCTTTACAGCAACGGAAAGAACAACGGGTGAGCGAAAACTTTCAGGAAACATAACTCGGTTGACTCAAACAAAATGGCGACTTTTCTCTTGGCGGTACTGTTTACTTGACCGTGAACGTTATGTTTCTCACAAAGCGTGGCACGAGAACCATTGTGTACTTCATTTTCTTATTATCGACCGACATTAATGTAACCATGGATCTTTAACGACTCACACAATATTTACGGTCTTTAAAGTCTTCGCGATTCTCTGTCCACGGAATAGGTAATGGTGTGATAAACGAGAACTACACTGTGCAACACGTTTTTGCGTTTCGTCGTTTTCTTTATATCTTGTTTTTTATTTCATTTCTTGTAGAATGAAATTTATACAATTCCTTGTGTTACCTAGTCAAAGTATTTACTTTTAATGCAACTCGGTGATTCTAGATTATTTAGACTATTCGTCATATATCTTTTTCAATGTCTGAATGACCTTATGAGAAATTATCTTTTCTTCAAAGGGGATCCATGATGCTTTCTCCTTTCAGACATAATTGTTTTAGGATCTAGGCATGGATTCTTATTCTTGTTGCAACAATCTATTTAAAAATCTCTATTATTACGTTTGTTTAGCTTAAGCAAAATGTCTAGTTCATACGTTATCGAACCACAAGAGAGTGGATCGGACAAGAAGGATGACACGTTGATCATTGTTGTTAACGACGATGGTACAATATCTGTTGATCAAGAAACTCTGCAAAGTTTGATCGGTAAGTTTGATTTGTTGTTAGTTTATATTTCCCATGATTCGTCGTATTATCTGGTTGCATTCACCTATAGCGAATCAATCCAATGCTAATGTCAGCGTTGTTAGACTCGGACAAGCTGAGACAGATACAGAAAATGGAGATATAACTCTAACGGTAGATCCTCCGCCATTTACAACCGCTAACATAAACACTGGAGGTTCCGGTGCCGATGCTACCAACTTGGTGGATCCTTTCATGGAAATGGATTCGGAACAGCTGGAAAGATTGGAAACTGCATTGCAAAGCGAAGAAGCAAAACAAATACTTGGAGAGAATGTCACAGCCATGCTCGGTAAATGTTACCCTCGTACTTTTGCTTAGAATCTACTTTGTAGAATTTCGCACATTGGAATTTGTCTTTATCCGTGGAGACGTAATATTTCGAATTTACAATTGTACTTTACAGATATGTTGACAGTGGAAGAACAGCAAAACTCGATACGGTATAGCGTCGAATTGGATCATTGCTACACAAGTAGATTATCACCTTCTGATCCGAAACCACGAGATCCTTTGCCTACTATCGATTCGCCGACACCCAGCGATAACGTACAATACGAGCATCAACTTTCTCCCAGTCAAGGAACGTCCAATGCCTTGTCTTCTGTTGCCGATGGAGATGGAACACCGCCGGCAAAGGCAAAGAGTATTATAAAAACTGTCAGTACACTGTGTAATTTTAATGGAAATGATGTTATATTGGCAATGCTGTATTCGATATTGGGTATGGTGTTTCTTTTAGAGTAAACCAGTAGGTCGTCCACGAAAGAATATTCCACCGACTTCCGTTGCGGCATGCAATAACTCCAGACCGTCTCCCAGTATAATAAGTACGCCCAAGTCTATCGGACACTCGACAACTCGAAATTTAACAGGTTCACTGCATCAGGCTATCGGAAGACGTAATTATTTCATAATTTGATCATTCGCGTTAGATATGCTTAATATTTTCGAGCCGTGTTTTAAACCGAAACCGTACACGCAATGAACATAGTTGTTCCATTCATCAGAACAGGGAAGGTCCAATGACGAAGATGAGGAAGGTCCGACATCATCGTCCATTGAGTCCTCCGATTCGGAACCTCCGTCAGACAATGACTCTGATTTCGGACCTCGCGGTCCTAGAAGAGGGGGCATAAGAGCCAGAGGTGGTAGAAAAGGCCTCACTACCAGGGGTGGAAGTATGGCGGCTACTCGTAGAAGAGGTACTAACAAACAATTGGATATGGAGCAAGTTCGTAGATTAGACATGGAAATGGCTGCTGCAGTAAATGCTATGAAAAGTCCAGAGAAAGATGAAAGATCTGGTAAAATAGAAGCACAATTATTAGATAACGTACCATTCTTAATATTCCATAAAACTTGCAACTAATTTAATAGTTTCTTTGATTTCTTCTTAGGATTTAATCTTATTAGAGGTAGAAGGCAGTTTAAAACCACCATTGGTAGGAAAAGGGAGGAGTCGCAACGTGTTGAATCGTCTACAATTTCGAACGAGGACAGTTCGTTGCCGTTCGAAAAACCGCTACAAACTACGAATCAAGTGAAAGCCAATTTGATTAATGCCAATATGATCAAAGGCGATATGATCCTTACGAAACCAGGTCAAGGAAAAAACAATCAGAAAGTGACTTTCGTTCAGAAACAAGTGCTTATGAAATCAAACGATTTAAAAGGTATAGATTCAAAGAAGCAACTAGTGTTTCCCAAGGGAAAATTTGTCACCCAAACTGGAACCAAGATTTTTGCAACCAAAGACGGGAAATTGGTTCAAGTGCCCATATCCGCTAAAACTATAAGTTCGAACGTACCGGTTAATCAGATGAAAGGTACGCTACCGCAAGTTTCTTCTACGCAGCAGTTGACCTTGAGTCAGAATCAGTCGCCTCATGTACAACAACAGCAGTCTGTCAAAATCTCTACACCTGCCAATATCTCGAAAATAAGATCCTGCGACGTGAAAAAAGAGAAAAGGAAATCCGATGGTTTCGAGACGATCAGCAAGTCCTCCGAAGTAGAAGCTGCGAAGACGCCAGAGTCAAAAATTTTGGACGGTTAGTCGATGAGAGCGTGCAATATATACAGCTGCGTATTATGGTCATTTTTCATCGAAAACTTTCGTTTTAGGCACGAAAAAACACCCAAAGAAAGAAAGTCGCAAATCACCGGCATATATGGTGGACAGTCTAGGTCCTGCGCTTTTCTCAACCCCTGACATTATACGTCGAGTCGGTTCAAACGGCGATGCGAAAATTCAAGAGAACATCGCAACCACCCTGGTTTCTGTGACATCAGTTGCCAATACTACCACCACAGGCGTCGCAAATTCCTTTACGTCGATAACCTCGTCATCGTCCACATCCCCTGCATCTGGTCGTTCAGGTTTGCTTCGCTTCTCCGTATCCGGATAGGTATCCCACGATTATTCAATCTTCTGATCGAGAACATTTAATCTCGTGACAAAAGGTGTTGCTGCCTCTGCGCCAACCGAGCGAATTACGCATCCAGAATCTCATACGTCTACGGAAAAGCAAGAAAATAATGATCCACTGGCAGAGAATAACGAAGACGAGGCCAGAACGAGTGTAAAAATCAACGGGTCCGAGGAATTACAGCCTCCTTTGGATTCGGGTAAATTCTACTACCGTTCAATCAACTTTTCTCTCTTCCGCGGGAGTCCGAATTTCTGTACACTTTCGTTACACGTTTACATTGTTTTGTAGGCGGCATAGAAGGCGAAGAACATTTGTTAGCTACGTTAGAAATGGAAGCCAGTAAACACGAAGAGGAACTGCTCGCAGAAGCACTTATGTTACAAGAAGAACTGGGAGTCGATTTGGGCGAACATGTATTAAAAATTTTTCGATTCAGATGAAGAATTATATTATTCTCAATCGTTTCAAATAGCGTCTATTTTCACTGTTGTTTCTCTCGTGTGTCTCTACTGTAGGGTACACTTGTCGAACAAGGAGCAAGTGTGACGTCTGAACCGTTATCTTCTAATAATGCGGTCGTGCCATCGTTGTCCACGTCTGAACCGGAAACAGTAAAAACACTGGATACTGCCTCGACGACAGCAACCATAACAACTATCGTAACAACAGCAACGACAAATGTAACTCGAGAGTCGACAAGAAAATCTACAAGAGATGAAAAGGAACCTATTCAGATTATTCGTGGTGGACGAGTAATCACGTTACCTCCTATCGAAGCACCGGCTACAAGAAGCAAACGGTTACAGGCAAGAGTCGAGCCCGCTCAAAAGCTGTTGGAATCAACGAAACCGACGGAAAAATTCAGGTAAATTTTCTGAACGTTGGTCGATTGGTTGATTAGTTTAGCTGAAGCTTGATTCAATGAAATGGCTCTATTTAACGCATGTCGATGTTTACAGTCTGCAAACGATACAGCAAAGATCATTGCACAATATCAAGAATGAGACACGCACAACTGTTACGGATCAAGACGAAGAAATTGGAAACGAGGATATCATGGGAGAAGACGAAGAGGCAGTGGACGAGGAGGAAATGGATCAGATGGCTGGTGAAGAAGAAGAGGAAGATGAACAGAAGCAGGTTGTAGCAAGGATGGTTGACGACGAGGAAGAGGGGGAGGACGAGGAAGAGGATG